TCTGTTCCTGATAGGAGCAGGTGGAGACCCCATCAGGGAGTTATGAGTCACTGAAGGGTTACAGATCTTTCATACCTGTGTGTATATATATATATATATATATATATATATATATATATATATATATACTGTATATACATGAGGCCTGAGGGTAAGGAAAGTAAAAATAAAAAGTAAAAACACTACACTTACTGGAGGAATTCACATTTTGTACACAGAAAACACAAAAACTCTGATTTTCGCAAATTTTCATTTCCAACTCAACACTTTGACTCAGTTGTGGTGTGTGTGGAAGGGGGGGGGGGTTGTTTCTGGTGACATTTGGGGGCAATTTTAAGACAAAAATCCTAACTTTGGAGACAACTGGTGCATTTGGGGACAAAAGTCGAGTCCCCGTTTGGTTTAAATGCCATTGGTGGGTTGGGGGTTGGGTTTAGGACCAAGCTGTGAGTTGAGTTTAGGTTAGTTTTAGGGTCAGGTAGGTACCTGTGAGGTTAGCCTTAGGGTTTGTGGTCAGGATTAGGCTGTAGAAATGTAATGGAAGTCAATGGAATGTCCCCAAATGGATAGCTGTGCAAACTTGTGTTTGTGACTGTCACCTTACTACAGCAAGAAGATCAGAGCTTCACCTCTCCGCACTTTCTGGGCGGAGTTTTGCATGTTTTTCCTGTTCATGCGTAGTTTTTTTTTTCCCCGAGTACTTGAACTAAAAAAAACCTTCACGTTAGAATAATAGTTAACTTTAAATCGTCCCTGCATGTGAGTGAGAGGGTGAATAGTGGTCTCTGGACGTCCCTGTGATGGACTGTACACCTGCTGGAGCTAGACACCAGCTCCACATGACCTGGAAAGGAAAAGCAGGTAAAGAAAACAGATGGATGGGTGTATTTTTGGCACATTTTACAATAAAAGCCTTCCAGGTGAAGACTTTCCTAAGTCCTAAAGGTCTCATTGAAAAGAAAAAGATAGCTCAAGTAAAAGTTGTGCAGTCACTTACTGATGGTCTGGATTTAAATGTCTCTCTCTCTCTCCTCTGACAGGCGGTCCAAGGTACAGGCTTGGCCTTCATCGCCTTCACAGAAGCCATGACTCATTTCCCTGCCTCGCCCTTCTGGTCCGTCATGTTCTTTCTCATGCTGATTAATCTCGGCCTTGGCAGCATGTTCGGCACCATCGAGGGGATCCTCACTCCCCTGATTGACGCTTTTAAAGTCCGCAAGGAGTTTCTCACAGGTTAGAGATGAGGATCATGTGTTTCTATCCTGGTACAAATATTAAAGTACTCAGTATTCTCATACAGGAAGTAAAGGAGACATCTGTGATTGTTTAATATAAGGGTGTGATTAAAAGCATGTAAAGAAAGCCCTGCCTGCTGTATCGTAAAACATGGTGGAGTTACCATCATGGTGAGGATCCCGGCCCAGGTATTTCCTCTAAGCTGTTGTCTTCCTGCAGTGGGCTGCTGCGTGTTGGCCTTCTCCATCGGCCTGCTGTTTGTGCAGCGCTCAGGGAACTACTTTGTGACCATGTTCGATGACTATTCAGCCACGATGCCTCTGCTCATCGTGGTCGTCCTGGAGAACGTGGCCATCGCCTGGTTCTATGGGATTGATAAGTATGGACGGATCAGCAACGCCGTTTTTTTTTTTTTTTTTTTGTCCACAAATACATTTAGCAGCTGCTTGTGCAAACGCTAACAGTTCGCTGTCCTGTTCTCAGATTCTTTGAAGACCTGAAGGACATGCTGGGCTTCACGCCGTACCGGTTCTACTACTACATGTGGAAGTACATCACCCCCATCCTGCTGATGGTCCTCCTGTGCTCCAGCTTCATCCAGCTGATCATGACGCCGCCCAGCTACAACGCCTGGATAGAGGAAGAGGTCTGTCTTCTGTCTCAACTCAAACACTGCAAAAACTGTCCAACCACGTTTTAAAATCTTATATCAGCCAAAAAGTCTTTTTGATCTTGTTTTGAGACTGATTTACTAAACAAGAACTGATTGTGTAAGAATAATCATCTTGTTTTCAGAATGTGTAAGATTATTTGTCTTGTTAGCCTGAAAATTTGACTCAAATTAAGTCAAGATTTCTGCCAATGGAGTAAGAAAATTTTACTTGGTAAGATTCTTGAAATACTTGATTTGACTCACTTTTTTCTTATTTCAAGAATCTTACCAAGGAAAATTTTCTGACTCCATTGGCAGAAATTTTTGACTTAATTTGAGTCAAATTTTCAGGCTAACAAGACAAATAATCTTAGACATTCTGAAAACAAGATGATTATTCTTACACAATCAGTTCTTGTTTAGTAAATCAGTCTTTAAACAAGATCAAAAAGACTTTTTGTCTGGATATACGATTTTAAAACTTGGTTAGATGGACAGTTTTTGCAGTGTAGATCCAGTGACGGCACCAGAAAATTAGGGGGTGGGGTGGGGGGGGCTTGAGTATTTGTAAGGGGGTCCAATAAAATGACAACAAATAATATTATACAGTAGATTAGGGCTGGGTGATGTGAGGAAAATGTTATATCCTGATTTTTTAAATTTTTTAATTTTTTTTTTTTTGCTATATCACGATATACGAAATATATCACGATACCTCCAAAATCGATGAAAACATTTTTAAAAAATTGATCCCAAAAATTTAAATACTGAATCTGAACACATTTAAATGTTTTATTTTAACCATCAGTTGCACTCATACGTTTTTTTGTTTTTTTTTACACAAATGGTAGGCACTTTGATAAATCTCCTGATGCATCTCAGTAATCCAGGTAAAAAATCAAAAAGAAAAAAATTGTATAGGTC